AGAAACATCTGAGGGTGAATACACTGCTTCATAAACCAGCCACTGGGTGTGAGGTAGGGATCCATTGTGGATGGGATGCCAGTCCATTGCTGAAGCCAATTCATCACAGCAGGTTCACGTTTGAGACACAGACGTCTCAAAGCAACCACACTGACAAAAACAAAAGACCGAAAAAAAAAAAAGCATGTAGTGTCACCACCGTGGAATAGCAGGGCAGACACAGCGATCCAGGAGTGTTGGAAAGTGTGGGCAGGTGGGGATTATTCCAATGGGCCAAATTACAGTCAAGTGTGGGGTCCAGTGGAGCCACAGAGAAGAATGAGTGCTGATGGAATGGTTGCCTATTTCATAACCTATCAGGAGCCCTAAAATGTCTTCCATCCAGGGATCAGGACACAGAAGATATAGCTGTCAAAACATCAGAAAAAACTAATCCCTTTCTACAGCTTTTGCCTTGTGGCCTTAAAAGCTGAGGTTTGATACAATCAACAAAATCTATGATCTATGAGTAGAATGAGCTGCTCTGATAGGGAAGCACGCAAACAAACTTTGAGTTGTGAATGAAGTGACGCTCCAGGGCATTTCACTAACAAAGACACACAACTGCATGTTTCCAAAGATGCATTAACAGATCTAATCCAGGATATTATTAACGGCATTTGGCAGACGCCCTTAACAACCTTTTAACCACTGAGCTACCACTTCCCAGGAAATAAGTTCAGAAAAGAAATGAAAAATAGACTTAGTTAAAGGGACAAAGGGTTGCATATTCACTGTCATCCACTAACTAAAGAAACTATGTTTGCATATAATCCTTCTAATTCCCCTGGAAAAAAAAAAAATGGCGTAAAATAGCAATAGTAAGCCCGATGCTCCCCGGGATAGGCTCCAGCTTCCCGGTAACTTTGAAAAGGAGTAAGCGGCAGAAGATGGATGAATGGATGGATGGATGAAAACAACAGCATGAAGCATAAAATGCCTTCAGAGGCTTCATATGATGCAGCTGCATAGAGCAGTGGTTTTTAAAGTGCGGCCGCCAGGGGGCGCCCGGGGCCTCAACAATTTGGTGTGAAAAATAAATAAACACATGATTTTTATTTATATATATCTATCCATCCATCCATCTTCTACCGCTTATTCCTTCTTCAGGGTTGCAGGGAACCTGGAGCCTATCCCAGGGGGCATTGGGCACAAAGCGGGGTACACCCTATATATATAACTAGTACAATTCATCCACACATACAATGAATAAATGGGGAAAAACATACTTTTTATATATATATATATATATATATATATATATATATATATATATATATATATATATATATATATATATATAAATTACATTTGCTATACCTGACTTTCTATTTGTTAAACAGACAAAACATCAATGTAAAAAGTGGGATCTGTTCAGAAGTCTGTATTTTTAATGTGTTTTAAAGACATCGTGCAAAAGGGGGATCCTCGGTCAAATGTTAATGCCATTTGGGGGGCCTTGCCCTGGAAAGGTTTGGGAACCCCTGCCCACTCACATACAGTAGAGAAGCACCAGAATGCGCACTCCCTTCCCACACACACCGTTCGTGTTTGATTGTGATGGCTTCACGACAGCTTCACCTAGACAAAGTTTGGGGTTTGGCTAGACTTTTCACAAAGATTCCTGAAATCTTTAGCCCCATAGGACCGATAGATAAGGGTAAAATGGTCAACCGTGTCAACAAAGTATGCTGGAATCTAGTTCACAGGCTTGAAGCGGCATGAATAAGTATAAAAAGAGTCTGTTTCTTATCAGAAGGGAATGATTCTCTCTCTCTCTCTCTCTCTCTCTTTTCTCTTTTTTTTTTTTTTTTTTTTTTTTTTTTTTTTCTCTCTCTTTTTTTTTTTTTTTTTTTTTTTTTCTCTCTCTCTCAACCTTTTGGCCTCCCATCCAGTTGAAAATGAGTATTTGGGTCACAGAAAATGAAGCTTTGTTTCAGAAATTTGTTTCTCTTTTTGTGTGGACAGTAGAAATGCAACTTTTTAGAAATGTTGTCAGTGTACACACCGATTGTAAAATGGTACACTTATATAGCGCTTTTATCCAAAGCACTTTACACTGTGTCTCATTCACCCATACCTTGCCATGCAACTTGCCATCAGGAACAACTTGGGGTTCAGTGTCTTGTCCCAGGACACTTCGGCATGTGGAGTCACCCGGGCCGGGAATCAAACCACCAACCTGACGATTGGTGGACAACCCACTCTACCACCTGCGCCACAGCCGCCCCGATTGGGTGTTCTATGAACGTACTAGGACTCCATTTATCATGGCTGCTGACCAAGTGGTTACTGTGCAATTTCCTGTCCGATAATGTGTTTATAATGAAATTCATTTCACTTTGTTTTATTATTAAAACTGTTAGATGTCACCCTAACAGAAATCTACCGTTTACGCCTTTGAGATCTCCGTCATGCCTTTCAGCCTGTTTCACCATTCACGTCTAGTAACATTGAGTTACATTTAGTTCTATGTTGCTATGAGCTAGAAAGTGTGGAATGCTGCAGAGTCAGGGGCCTGGAGAGTCCGAAGTGAACACACACACACACACACACACACACACACACACTGACATATATGAGCGTGTTCAAAAGAGACTTCCGGATTATTCATTCAAAACAGGAGTATTTATACACATTGTACACATTGATAACAGCACTGCGTGGACGGTTTCTCCTGGTCCAGGTGTCCGACAGATTTAGACAAAACACACAGCACATAGTTATGATACAAAATAAGTCCCATGTCATGTTGACACAGGAGTACATAATAACATAACCAAGGATAGCAGTTGATCAGCGTATTCAAAGAGGTAACTAAATGATTACATTCATCATGTATTTGAGAGCAGTTCCTAATATAAGAGGGTACACAATATCAAATATAAGATGATAAAAGAGAACTTCCTTTCGAAAACAAATGTTGATATGCACGGCACAGCTCCTGAGATTTTGGGTGAACTAGCAACTCTTTGGACAATTTCTAATCAAAGATTAGTGGCGTTTACAATTGTGAGTAGAACCTGCCAAGAAGGTTCTGGCTGTATCTGATCGCAGACTTTTCCATAAGGAGAACGCCACAGTTTCTCGAACTGTGACAGTTCTGTAAAATAACAGAAAAAGACCCAGACACGGTCTATGGAGAGGTCAAGCACAGTGATACAGCAGCTATGGAGGTCATCGAGACGGCGTGATGTTAAAATGAATGTCGCTTAATTAAACCAAGTGCGGCAGCAGTCCCACCAAAACATCCAGGTTCTTGAAGTGTCACTGGTTCTGACGAGAAAAACTCCGACACAACACATGCCTCTTAGCTATAAGCGCAGGTTTGTATAAGTGGTAGATAGGTCGTCTGTCATTTCTTTGAAAGGTCGCGTTTGACCAATTAGCAATGTTCGATATGATGAGCTGTGCCCCGTCATCCCGGGTCTGCAGAAAAGTTCCCACTCTGAAACAATAACTAAAACCAGCCCTTGGTGCCAGCAGTGGAAATACTCCTCAACTTCCTGAAGAATTGTTTTCCAACATAGCAACACCAAGGCACGTCTCCCGGTGGAATTTCAAACGGAAACCACACATCAATTACACCTGGTCCGATAATACGAAAGCGTGCGGTCACTTGTTGTCTGTTTATGTAAAAATCTTATGAATTGTGACTACAAAACGACTACATCGCAGTAAATATCCAGATAGTCGAAATTTTCAAACTTGTGGACTTTGGACCGCAATTGTCTGGTAAAGCTCTGCAGAACGGTCACGGTTCACACACCAGAATGTCTGAAAACACACTTGGCTTCTCTAGACCTGTCTGCAGACTGCTGCAAGAACACAATGGAGCTCTCAGTGTGGGACGAAAACCAGGCCAAGGAGGCACATGGACATAATTTAAATATAATAACAATTATTATTCTTTTTTTAAATACTAAGGATTGTAGTTAATTCTAGTGATGAGTGAGCTCTGTGTTTTTGAAAAAGTTGTGTCTGGGAAGTATAGCCATGCGTTTAGTGTTGTTGTTGTTGTTGTTGTTTTTCTTCAATAACGTTATTACAGTGGTTAAAATCATGACCTATCCAATATCTATATCAACTTTGGTAGGTTTTGCCGAGGTATAGAGAGTTTTAAAGATCCATCCATCCATCTTCTCCTTTACTCTTTACATCTTTACTCCTTTTTCAGGGTCAAGGGGAACCTGAAGCCTAATCCCAGGGGGCATGGGGCACAAGGCGGGGCACACTCACACACCAATCAGCCTTATCATGGATGTCTTTGGGCTGGGGGAGGAAACCGGAGTACCCGGAGGAAACCTCCGCAGCACGGGGAGAACATGCGAACTCCGCACACACACACACACAGGGCCACGGTGGGAATCGAACCCCCGACCCTGGAGGTGTGAGGCGAACATGCTAACCACTAAGTTTCTTCTTTGTACGTTCTCACGGTTGGAACAGCCCTTAAGATGGCAGCAGAGGTTGAACTCGAGGGAAAATAAAAGCGTGGTGAAGTGGACGAGAGTAGATACCAGGGCACGGTAGGATATTTTTACAATCAGCCTTCATGTTTTAAATAATTGGAATTAGGTCAATTATAAGGTAATCTGTATCGACTGTAATGTACCTCATCTGAGAATGATTTATGAGGAGAATTGGGGCACAGCAAAAACATTTTTAGGGGGGCTAGCAATGTCCCTGGTTTGGCCTAACTTAAGAATAGAATAAATACAAAATAGTAATATAAAAAAAAACCCACATTGTTTCAGTATTAATCAGGTGATTTATCATTTAGATGTGTAATGGATTATATGTATGTGTTTGTCTTTTTGTGAAGACTTGGGGAGTATCTGAGGAATGATATACTGAAGGAGTTGATGGCAGGATGAGATCTACAGGAAGTTAAGAATAGTATATTTTTAGGCCAGTGGACTTTTTTATAGAAAAAAGCTAAAAAAAATAAAAATAAAAATAAAATAAAAGCTCAGTGGTAGAGCTTTTTGACTGCAGCTCAAGAGGTCCTTGGTTCAAATCCATGTGACCCCTTGACTGACCTGCTCCTGGTACTTTTAAGTGATTTCCACTCCATGCCATTAATATGCCCATCGTGCATCAATAGGATAAAGCAGTGGTTTTCAAAGTGGGGCCGCCAGGGGGCGCCCGGGCGGCTCAAAAATTTGGTGTGAAAAATAGAACCTAGTATGTTTTCTCTTTCTCACTCTCAGACAACCACACACACACACACACACACACACACACACACACACACACACACACACACACACACACACACAGGGGTTTGGGAACCCCTTGGATAAAGGATATATGATATTGTCTATTTATCATAGCATCATGGAAATATGGCACCTTACCTGCAGTGCTATATATATATACATAGCCATATCTGCATCCCTGTCTCACTCGACATGGCTGGTTTTCCTCTCTGTGCCCATTTGGCCCTTTTTAATTGGGAGTTTGTTTTTAATCCGAATTGTATGAGTGTTGAAGATGCTAATCCGGTGGTTAAATAAGCTTCCCTTACACACCTTATATTCCCTAAGAATCCAAAACCCAAGCATGTTATTGGTTTAATGATGACATTTTAGGTAGCAGGGGGTAAAGTGTGTCTATTTGCATTTTGCCTGAATCCTTCCTTTATCAGCTCGTGTCATGAATCGAGATTTATTGTGTTGTATGCCCTCTGAAAATCCTTGTTTACCCACTCCAACTGCTCTATGGCAAAGAGCTATGAATGCATGCCGTATATCAGTGAATATGTTTGAGTCCTCTGATCCAATCTGATTACACATGAAGCGCTTAATGATATAGTAGGTAATAAGACCAGATGGCCGTGGAGGTAGTGGGTTTGCTCTGATTTACGGCTCTCCAGCGATAACAAGAGGACATTCAGTGTGTAATGATGAATCGTGTTATAACCGTAAGACTTTGGCATGGACTTCCCCGAGTTTTAAAGTGGTCAGCTACATTAAAAGAAAATAGCCAAGCAAGTTTGGGAAGATGGGCATATTTCAAAACTATTTTATGTGTATAGATTAAAAGAGCCCAAAAAAATATAAATAAATTATGTTAGATAAATTTGCACCCAGTGTCATGAAGACAGGCCTATACTAGTGCAGTGTTGGGGTAGCGAAATAGATTAAATTAACACGGACCTTCTTGTCATCATATCAACATTGTCCACAATCTCAAAGGAATGTTTCCAAAATCTTGTGGGCCCATTAGTGGTGTCGTCTTCTTCTTTTCGTGTCAAGGTTCCAGAAGAAGAAGAAGATTGGTGGTGTGAAGCGTAAATCACAGGGGGCACCTGCAGTCTGCAGTCAAATGCTCTACCACTGAGCCATACCCCCATGACAAAGACTGCTCCTATTCATTTTAAAGCAAGGGCTGATGGAGAAAAAAACCTCCGTGGTACCATACTGCTATGGTATTATCTGTATATAACATCCTTTATACTGCTTTGGTGATTTCCGTTGGGCTTATGTTGTAAACTGTAAAGCAGTTAAGGATACCTCAATCAGACCAGCCAGACAGGGGTGCAGGGATGTGGGGACAGGGTACGTCCTGATCTGCTCTAACCCACAGTTATGCCCCGGTGAAAATGCATTACCAAATGATATTCCATGCATTTCTAACCGGACAGCATTGTAACACAATTAAATCCCATGCTTGGCATTTTACAGCATTGCAGGTAAGCTGCCATGCTTCCAAGACGCGGAACAGTCTCTAGAGTTTACTCCGAATTGAGCAATAAAGAAAAGAACATCCAACTGGTCGATGAGAGGCCAACCGAGAACGGCCAGCCTGCTTCGAGCTTACCGAAAGGCTACAGTAACGCCGTGTTGTCAATCAAGAACATAAATCTGAGGCTCACCAAATCTGGACAGCGGATGATTGGAACAATGTAGTCTGGTCGAGGACCGAGCAGAGACAGATGGACAGAGAAATCTGTTTTTATTGACAGTGGTGCAAAGGTCTCGAAAAAGATTCAAGCAACCTGGACCCGCTTCATTTAAATTGGGTTTGTTTGAATGCAGTCACCAAGTAGCCTTTTTAAATAACACTGCTGAGAACTCGAGCAACGTTCGTATGTAAAAACGAATGCAAACGAAGACACTGAATTTCTGTGACAATCCCGTGTGAAATTCGAGCAACCCCACGATTGGGACGCCAGTGTTCAAGGCTGGATTACGCAGGATTACGTTACTAATCATGTACGTGTGATTACATGGGGGTTCTTGTGTCAGGACGGATTTTCTGTTGCTACACAAGCCTTGCGACACTAGAGCTTCTGAAGCCATTCCGAAAACCTCGCAAGAACTTCCTTCCTTCTACAATCCCTTCCATCATGAAAGCCATTGTGGTTAGCAAGTAAAACCTGCAGCTTCGCATCGTTCATGCGTGAATCATTAAACACTCACCTCAAAAGGGCATTGTTTATTATGGAACTAATATTCTCATCTGAAGCCCCTTCTGACTTTAGGCTGAGTGGTATTAAACTATGTGCTGAACCAGAAAGTGCTTTGGCTTCAAGATGTACCCAAAACTGCTTTCAGCTCTGCAACATCCTGCCGTCCATGTTTATTGATAACACTGTGCCAATCCCGTTTGAGACACTGAATACCACCGTAAAGCTGATTAAGTCGCCACAATGCAACTCTACAGACTACACGTTCCTCGTACGTATTAGCTACGTTAGCCAGGTTGCTTCAAACTATGGACGCAAGACATATCTGATCCACTACATTTTTGTAAGGTCTTATTGTGTACATTTAAGTTTTGGTCAACGTGTCACTTTACTTATCCGACTACGATGCTTAGATTATTTGTAACGGTTGGAAAAGAAGTTCAAAACACATGTAACTCATTGATGAAGTACCATGGAAATGGTTCTGGACCTCAATTCCACATGGACGTTCTCGCCGTGGTTGCTGGGACTACGGTTGCAGCGATGGCCTCGGGACTGCAGTTTTACACTCGGGTCTCCTTTAGTGAACAGTGGACTAGTTCAACATACAGACTTCATATAAACACCATAATGAACTTTCTTTTACTCTCACACACTCCGTCGTTACCCAGATGAGGACGGGTTCCCTTCTGAGTCCGGTTCCTCTCAAGGTTTCTTCCTCATATCACCTCAGGGAGTTTTTCCCTCACCATCGTCTCGCTCAGTACGGATACATTCACACGCTTAAAATCTCTCTCCTGTGTTTCTATGTTTCTGTAAAGCTTCTTTGAGACAACGTCCGTCGTTAAAAGCGCTACACGGATCAAACTGCACGGAATTGAAGAATACATTTACAACACACTCTGTTAACACAGCGTTTTCGTTGTTCATGTAAAAACAGTAATGGATCATCAATGGATGCTGTCAACGTCTTTAAAATAACAGTGCTTTTACAGTAGGTTAAAAGCAGACATTTTACAAAGCGCTTCAACTCGATAAAAGCCAGGACTACATAGGAAACCGTTTCGAAGTGCACTCTCAGATGCTTGCTACAGGTTGGTAACATCGAGTGTACAGCTTGTATGCCTGTAATTACCAGGGAAAGTAAAGTTGCGCAATCACAAAAACACAACTGGACCCTTAAGGGTACATAAACATTAGATTTTTTAAAATACGTTTGCTTATACCTATTCTGTACCCGTTTCATAATGTATCTATACACTTATACACAGAATTCTGCGTTTTTACTAAAGCACTTCAGTACATCTCTTTGGTAATACTTCAGCACGTCATGTTTAGAGAAAAGACGGGTTGTAATTATGGACCCAAGTATACCATACCCACGGAGGTGGGTGCATCACGATATGGGTCTGCTTCTCTGCAAATGATACTCGGGCATTATACGTCATTGAAGGAAACATCAGTGGAGGCTAGTGAACTGAATCTGGCGAGAAGATGGGTATATCACCAAAGACAACCAACCCAAATCTACAGCTTAAAACTGGTTCCTAATGAAGACGGTTAGGTTGCTTGGATGACGTAGCCAATCTACTGACTTAAAAGCCATTGAATATTTGTGGAGGGTTTTAGAAGTGCGAGTCCATCAGGCCATTATTTCTTACCGTAGATACCCTGAAGTTGTGCAGTTGATAAGTAGTGAACAGGACACGAAGGTTGGATAACACAAAAGAACTACATTTGGGGTGCGTTCAAAGACCTCCAAATTTGTCGATGTTTCACTAGACTGTATCACGAGTAGTTAGACATTATGTACACCACAGTGCTTTTGACTTCTCGAAACTGATAAGAAAGTATTGATTCGTTTCTACTGTTGTTTTCACAACGGCCAGCAGTCCTGACAGGAATGCGTAAGCAAATCTCAGGTTTATATTAACACACGCTTTCTAATACACGATAGTTTACATAGGAACATCTTACACCGGGTCTTGTATTTAATATTTACGGAAGGAGTCTCCAGTGTCAGAACGCTGAGAGGTAAAGTTTCAGGTTTTCTGACATCTTCGCGTCTAGACACGTGTGTGATTTTTCAACACGATAAGCTGCGGTTTATTCGTTTATTTATTTATTTGTTTGTCTTATTAACTGTGGAAGTGATAAACGGGAATTTTGGGGATATTCCACAAATTTTGACCGTAATTGTATGTGGATATTTATTTTATTTTTTATTAGAAAGCACTGGCAAACTGCTGTGGTATAAGAGGAATAAAACAACTGTCAACTTAAGTGTTTCAACGGTAACTCCACTTTGAGTCAGGCCTCATCTTAATGAAAAATTATTATTATTGTTACATCACACTCCAAATAAAAAAAACCCATGTTTTGTTTCTTATCTAATTGACGTACTGTATCTTCTGCCTGTTTTATAGGTACATTCATCTAGTAACCAATAAATTCACAACATTATGTGTTACCATGTTTTTCGTATCTTTCCACACGTATATCCGTGGATTAAAAAGCAGTTACTGTTTCACAGTCTGTCACGTTGTGGTTTGTTTCAACGTCCTTTTTCCCTTGCTTGACTTTGGTGTCTTTTAATATACTTTGTTTAAGGTGGTTGTAA